CGGTATTTTTAAAATTAGCGGTCATCAGCGGCTTGTGAGCCGCTGATGACAGCTATTAATTTAAAGGGGACAGTCTGCTGAACAGTTCTACTATAAGCTGATGGTCGCTAAAGCGACCATCAGCTTATAGTAGAACTGTAAATGCCAGGTCCGTACGACGTACTGAGCTGGCCAGCTGGAAGCACTTTTGTAGCTCCGTACGACGTACGTCCTTGGCAGCGAAAGGGTTAAAATGTTCAAGCTTTTTTAAAAGTTATTTTTTCTCAATCTTGTTAAATATTCAGTTTTCATAAAACCAATACTGGTGATCTTGTTATGAAGGTACCTCATGTCATGGGGGGACAGTTATCTCACATGCTCCTGGTGGGGGCTACCGGCAGCTTGCTGGTATTTTTTGCTTAAGCATGAGCAATCACCGCTATCACTATCAGGATGCCGGTCCAGAGCAATCATATGCTGTAGGGATGCACCGATACTAGTATTGGTATGCTGCCCGGTTTCCTGATTGGCCGGGAAGCCGGCTTCATGTAATGAGTCGATCTCCCGTCTTCCTGGTTGGTCATTAAGCTGGCCAATCAGGAAGACAGGCGATGTGTAATGACAAGGCGCCCGGCTTTCTGATTGGCCAAGAAGCTGGCTTCATGCTCCCTCGTCACCTCGTGACGAGGGAGCATGGAGACGGCTTCCAACCCAATCAGGAAGCCGAGCGCCGTGCCATTACACAACGCCCGGCTTACCTAATATGCAGCTGCAGTCAATGCATATAGACCGAAAGTAGCAGATCAGCAGTACAGGGCAGCAAAAAAGAAAATACTGTAAACACCGTATTTTAGCAAAAAAAAAAAAGGCAATTATTTTTGGTGATCTGAAACATCCAATTAGGGTTTAAATTTACTACCATAGGGGGGATGTTTGACATCTATGCCTGGGTGAAAAACAGAAACCCTGAATGTATTTGTTGCCCTCCCTGTTTTCCCCTACCGCTCCTATTATCTATGGGAGTGCTAAGTCTAACCCTAATGTAAGCTTTATACTGGTCACTTTTGAAACTTAGACAGAATCTATGTTCTTCGCCTGATGATTGGCCCCTTGGCCTAAGCACTGCATCCTCGGAGAAAAGAGAGAAGATTATATGCTTCTCATATCCAGAAATACCGGTATTTTCAAGGCTTTCTTCAGACAAACTAAGTAGCAAAGGAGTTCACAAAAAGAATATCAGTGTGCACTTCATCATAGGCAAATTTAGGGTGATTTTATATTAATTGGAATCTACAGGTCCAGTTTTTTTCCCCTCATATTTTACTTTCATCCAGCAGATGATGTGCTCTATATAGATTATTATTTGAACAGACCTGAACAGCAGGAGATCCGATTGCACAGTTTTGGGACAACAAGAAGGAGGTGCTCAGGAATGTTAAACATTTCAGATGCTCATACCAAGTTCTATTCAGAGAATAAGGATGCTGGCGATGGACATTTAGTAAATGGAGCAGCATGCTGCTCAGGATGCATGCCAATATGGAAGTTAAAACTACATTACCAGTAGGCTTTGTCAATCTAAATGCAAAAACTAAACCATATTTGATGGAAGTAAGCCTTACATTTCTTTAGACATGAGATATATTATTATTTATTTTTTTCTAAGCTGATCAGAGTGGGAGAGCAAGAGCTTTAATATCTATAACAAATAGAGCTGCAGCTAACGATTATTTTCAAAATCGATTAGTTAGCCGATTATTAAGTTTGATTAATCGGTTAATCGGATAAACTATAAAATAAAGTTTAAAAAATGGCTCCAATGATAGGAATACTAGTTTGTATTAAGGTTGTAGTCCATCACAGGAGCAAGCTTGGACCGTTGGAAGTAAAAAAGAAAAAAAGATAGTGTGGTGTGCAATATAGTGAAATGGAAAGTGTAAAATTATACAGCAATGCATGCAGAATAGCAACGGCTATAGAGGACTACAAAACCCAGCAAAAGCACATTATACAGCACAATGCAGAATACCGCCAGCTATAGAGGAATACAACAAATCCCAGCAATAGTACATAATAGCTGGCGGCATTCTGCATTGCGCTGTATAATGTACTATTGCTGGGTTTTGTAGTCCTCTATAGCTGGTGGTATTTAGCATTGTACCACTTTATAATGTATTATTGCTGGGATTTGTTGTACTCTTCTACAGCTGGTGGTATTCTGCATTGCGCTGTATAATGTATTATTGCTGGGACTTGTAGTCCTCTATACAGCGCAATGCAGAATATCACCAGCTATAGAGGAGTACAACAAATCCCAGCAATACATTATACATACAGTGTATAATGTATTGCTGGGATTTGTATTCCTATGTATAATATACAGCACAATGTACCATCAGCTATAGAGAAATACAAATCCCAGCAATACATTATAGAGCACCATGTGTGGGAAAGTGCAGTCTTCCAGCAACGTGCTTCTGAGATCGGACCTGTCTATCAGCAGCTGTCATACCCCCACACCTGCTCCTCTTTACTACATCTCCCCGCGTCCCTGTGCCGATCGTGGATGTGGATGGGCAGGAAATGTGAGGCGGGGAGGAGGTGCGACGTGTGGAGCGTGGATGCGAGCGGGTCTGGCTGCGGCGAGCGTGAGGTGGGGAGGAGGTGCGGTGCACAGCGTGTGGAGCTGTGAACAGGGCCAACTGATCAGAAGCCGATTAATCGATTATTGAAAAAGTTGACAACTTTTTCAATAATCGATTATAATCAATTATGTCGATTAGTTGTTGCAGCCCTAATAACAAATGTGATATACAAGAGCTGGCAGAAAATAGGAGTAATGGAAACTAGAATTGGGTTTCGTGCTTTCTTGAAATGAAGTGTATTGTTAGACGGGAAGGTAGCCTAGAAATAAATTCCCCAGGACTTTATCTAGGAAGACTTATTAGGAGACCACAAGTAATTTAATTCCTTGGAGAAAGTTGAGCTAGAGTATACAAGGCAGGAGAAAAATGATACAATAAGTATAATGGATAAAAATTTTCTTTTCAGTGTATTGCTGATCTATGTAATTAGGAAATAGCAACCTCAAGAGAGATGTATCACTTATTTTCCCTTTATACATGAATTGGCTTCAGGGTTCCATAGGTTCTTAGATTACTGGCTGGGCTAGGTCAGATCATAGAATAATATGTTAGAACATGAATGTGTGTTCTTTTCTGCTGTAACCAGCAAGCATAATTTATTTTCAGGGTTCTCTGTAGGTTTGACTAAAATTAAGTATTAAGTTTAAAAGTTTAGAAATGGTTGTTTTTCCTTTCTTTTTACTGTATATACAATAATGAGCAATAAATAAATATATTCCCAGAACAGAGTCGTTGTCTGCTTGTGACAACTACAATTTATATGGTTTCAACCGCTTAAAATGACACTAAACTTAGGAGTTAAATTTTAAAAATACATTCAAGTACCTTAACAAAAATGTATCTTATTTGTGTATCACTTAGCTGTAGATTCTCAAATCATCTCAGAATTCATGCGGACACTGTCCTTCCTTCTGGAGGGTGGCTTCTTTTGTTTCCATGTTCCCTGTGTGTTGTAAAGTAGACAACGCTCAGAGTTCATTCCCGTGATGAAATACAATCTCAAATTAGTAAAGTATATGTGAGATTGTAGTCCATCACTGGAGTGAACTTGGAGCGGTGGCTACTTTACAACACACAGGGAACATGGGGAATACAAGTAGCCCCCTCCAGAAGGAAGGACAGTGTCAACACCAATTCAGAGATGATTTGAGGAACTACAGCAGAGTGATACACAATAAGATATATTTTTGTTAATAGTTAAGGTACTTGAATGCTTTTTTAAGATTTAACTCCTGAGTTTAGTGTCATTTTAAGTGGTTGAAATCACATAAATTGACTTCTACAGTTTGTTTTCTCAAGGCAAAAACACTTCTTTATTTAGTTTAACAAAACAATTGTGCTATTAATTTGTAATAGTTTATTGTTTCACTCTTAAAGTTGATCCTTTTCAGATCTGCTTGTCACAATATAAGGAAACTGTATATGTAAAAAGTTCTTACCGTTTAGCTTTAAAAAGCAGTTCTTGACCTCCAGTCCAATGGCAGTGTCTAAGCAGAGATGATGTTATCAGCTTGCTGCAGGCAGAAGGAAGCATTTCCTTAGCCTCCTCTCACCCAGTGATCACTGTGTAAATTTTAAACTGGGTTCACACCTAGGCGTACGGAATATGCGCATTTGCCGCGCGTTTCGTGACGCGCGTTTTTACAGTGATTTGCGGTAAAAGAAACGCGCATTTCCGAGGGCTATCCGGCTGTATCCCAATTGATATGCGCGGCAAATACGCCCCAAAGAAGCTCCTGGCCCATAGGCAATCATTGGTTTTCACATGTTGAGCGTTTTACAGCGCGTAGGAACGGGCTGTAAAACGCCCAGGTGTGAACCAAGCCTTAATGTTAATGCAAGTCACAAGGTAAGAGGCTGTAGCAGAGGCTTGTATGTTTCAGACAATTGTGATCACAGGCACCAGGTTTTACATGACTATGTCATTTCTGCTCCAGCATCTCAATTCAGGAAATAGATGCTTACCGTGGATGATACAAGCAATGGTGGAGCAAGGATGGATCCATTCTCCTGGAGAGCAAAGCAGATTAAGGCATTGTCAGGGGGAGCACTGTGATCTTTGAAATCTGTGTTACTCTTGCTCATTACTTGGCATTCGTGCACTTAAAATAAAAAAATACATATCCCTGATGCTAGGCTTGCTTCAAGTACAATTGGTTATTCTTTGCAACATGAAATTTCATCACTAAGGGAAACTTCCTGCGTTTCATGGTCTTGCCCAAACTACTCCTACAAGAGAATACCCATGCATATCCATAAGATTAGTTAGCCACAAGGACAAATAGCACAGGGAACTGCAGTGATTTCAGAAGCAGGAGCTTTTTGAGTGCTTGTAACACTCCCATGGATTAACATTTTTCACATTTGGTGTTTACATTTTGAAGCTGCTGCACTGCGTGGTACTCAACGATAGTTAGGTAGGAAATAAAACATTTAATTTACTTTAGCATATTTTCCTCGGATTCCAAAATCTGTTTTAGGACTCCAAAGATATTAAGCTCCTAATTAAAGATAGTCAAATTACTGTGAAACTCAAACCAGGGAAGCTCAAATGTGAATTATGAGAGTACATTTCAGAGACCTGAGCACTACTGCACACCCATGCATTGAAACTTTATGTGCTGGAATGACAAGTTCCTATATTGTAACTGTGGATCTGAGTGTTCCCAAAGTGACACTGTAAACTGCCAAGTACTGCAAACTGCTGCTGTTTATAAGAAAACTGTTGGAGGCATGTAGACCTTTCTAAGGTCTAGGGTCATGGACAGATCACCATCAAACTTGGATTTTTTAATGGAAATAACTTGATACATTTATTTATAGATTTTTTGGCTTGCTCACTTATTGTTTATTTCTTTGTTTTCAGATTTTGGTGTCAGTTCATTCTTAGCAACTGGTGGTGATGTTACCAGGAATAAAGTTAGAAAAACGTTTGTTGGCACTCCCTGCTGGATGGCCCCAGAAGTAATGGAACAGGTATGCCTAGGTTTGGCTTTTATAGAACTAGGTATGTTCATGCATTTAATTATTTACATAAAGTGACTGTGTTGCTAGCTTACAAAGAGTTATATACCTGTCCGGTGTGTGGAACCACAGTGTGCAATGTAGGGACATCTTACACTCTGAGGTTTCTAGGATGTTAAAGATCCTTTAAAGGCAGACAGTTGTTAAAACTTTTTTTTATTCTAGCGGCAGAGTCACGTTAAGGGAACACTGGTAGTCATTTGGTTGCATGCTGTAAATGTCTCCATCTATACCAACTTAATTTGTTCTGATATCATGAACCCATTACATATTTATCCATGAATGTCTTTAAATACTGTTGTACATGAAAAACATGTAATTTCTGTATATTGGCCTCAGTCCTAATTCACATAGCACTAATTCAACTGACCTATGATCAATTACTCTTTAGGTTCGAGGTTATGACTTTAAAGCTGATATGTGGAGTTTTGGAATAACAGCAATTGAACTAGCTACAGGTTCAGCTCCCTACCACAAGTATCCTCCAATGAAGGTAAGAGCAAACTATGAAATGTGGTTCACCAGCACACTGATCTCATGAATTATACTTGCAGTACAACCAGTGCATACACCTGAGCACCTAATAATACATCACACCTATCTGACCACACCTTCCCTGAACTGGCCTTCTACAATAGCCAAGGTCTGCGGCAGTGGAGCTACATTTTTTATCACATATAACATTTTGGGTGATTTTCTTTTTTTCCTAAATGTAAAGCAATTTTCCCCACTGTGACAAGCTTATGCGACCTCATCCTGCTAATACAATATACATCTGACCCACTAGTTCTCAAAATGTCATAAGTGATCCCAGATGGAAACACCTAAGCAAAGAGGGAAAACAACTGGAAGAGACAATCACATGACTTGTCTTGCTTACATATTGCTCACATCTTCAAGTCTACTGATAGCTGGAAATATTATACAGTATAACTGGGCATTGAAGCAAAGTAAAAATTGAGCTGTATTTATAGTAACCAAACTGACTTCAGCCTGTACTCTGGAAGTGAAATATGGAATCTGGTTGCTACCGACCCTTTTTGCCCCATTTCATAAATCAGCCCTTCTATAACACTTTATAGATTAAAGTACTGAGGCTGAAATGTGCTGTGCCATGACAGATAATAATGCTTGCATATTCCTTTCATACTCTATTATTAGAGAATGAAAGTCTGAAGCTGATTAACTGTTATAATGCAACTGTTATCTCAGACACTTTTATTGTTTGGTCCAAACTATATTGCTTGTACAACAACATAAGGGCTTATACATGCGGACGCTGTAAGGGGCTCTTCTCAATGCAGGCTTGACAGTTGGCAATTGGTCCCAAACAAAGGGTTTGGTGAGTTGTGCTGAGCCAGATGGGCAGTATACACCCCTTTTTTTGATCAGGTGTAACTTCATTTTGTGTCTCTCAAAACATTGCATTCATATGGAAAGGTGTCTATTGTGGAACTGTCAGTAGAGTGTTTAGTGCACAGAATGCAGTAGTTGTTGAATACCTTTCTGTTTACATTGTTTCCAAAGTTGCCCCAGCAGAAAATCCCGATCCCTGTTTGGAGGTTACAGCTAAAGATCGTTGCAACCAGCATTGCTCATGTTCACTGCTGATTGCTGCACTGTAGTTATCAAAAAGCAAGGAGAGTATCAGACTGCTCTACAGAGATGGCTGCTTACATCAAGAACAGTGGTCTTTATTTACAGACCCCAAATAGTTATGAGTAGGGATGTTCAGATACCAAGTACCATACTTGTTACAAGTACCAGCACTGATACTTTTCCAGCTCCAAGACTAGACTAGAGAAAAACTCAAAAATTAGGTGGCAGCTGTCTTCTGTAAGGAGCATTGACTACGAGGCCCCTGGGATTTGTGCATCCCTGTTTTAATGTGTATATATATATATATATATATATATAAAAACATTTGTGAGGACAGGTACTGATGTTGGACGCGAAGGCCGGGCTCACAGTCTCCGCTCTATTTCATCCCAAAGGTGTTCTATCGGGTTAAGGTCAGGACTGTGCAGGCCAGTCAGGTTCCTCCACCCCAAACTTGCTCATCCATGCCCTTATGGACCTTGCTTTGTGCACTGATGCACAGTCATGTTGGAACAGGAAGGGGCCATCCCCAAACTGTTCCCACAAAGTTGGGAGCATGACATTGTCCGACATATGTTGTTATGCTGATGCTTTAAGAGTTCCCTTCACTGGAACTAAGGGGCCAAGCACAACCCCTGAAAAACAACCCCACACCATAATCCTCCCTCCACCAAACTTTACCAAACTTTACACTTGGTACTTGCCTACACAGTTAGGCAAGTACCATTCTCCTGTCAACCTCCAAACCTAGACACGTCCATCAGATTGCTAGACAGAGAAGCGCGATTCGTCACTCCAGAGAACGCGTCTCCACTTCTCTAGAGTCCAGTGGCGGCGTGGTTTACACCATTGCATCCGATGCTTTGTATTGCACTTGGTGATGTAAGGCTTGGATACAGCTCCTCAGCCATGGAAACACATTCCATGAAGCTCTCTACGCACTGTTGTTGTGTCAATCTGAAGGTCACACGAAGTTTGGAGGTCTGTAGCTAATGACTCTGCAGACAGTTGGCGACTTCTGTGCACTGTGCGCTTCAGCATGCGCTGACCCCGCTCTGTCATTTTACATGGCCTACCACTTGGTGGCTGAGTTGCTGTTGTTCCCAGTTGCTTCCACTTTGTTATAATTCCACTAACAGTTGACCGTGGAATATTTAATAGCAAGGAAATTTCACGGAACATCTGAATCCATTGATTTGGAGGGGTGTCCCAATACTTTTGGCAATATAGTGTATATATATTTAGTAGGGCTGCACTGATACCATTTTTCAAGAACAAGTACAAGTCCTGATATTTGTCCAAGTACTCACAGACACCAATTACTGATACCTTTTTGTTTATTGTCATGTGACAGTTTTTCTGAAACAATACAGACTAATGATTACAGGACAGTGGTGGAGCGCCAGGGCCCAGTCGCAGCTGCAACCGCTGTGACCCTGGTCGTGAAAATGCCAGATTTTGTCACTGGCATCTGAACTGGTATCTAAACATCACTAATTATGAGTTTTCGGCTGGGGGAACATGGAAACAAAGCCTAGTTTTTTTTTTTTTATGTGTGCAATTGGTATTTAATACATTTTCCTAATAAGGCAATTGGTAAGAATTTTGATCTCTCTTTTTGTATTATCTAGGTATTAATGCTGACCTTGCAAAACGATCCCCCAATTTTAGAAACTGGAGTAGAAGATAAAGAGATGACAAGAAGATACGGGAAATCATTTAGAAAGCTAATTTCACTGTGTCTCCAGAAAGACCCGTCAAAGAGGTAAGTGGCTGATTTATGACTCAGAGATGTGTTAAAGGAGAACTATGGGGTCAGGGTTTTTCCCCATAGTTCTCCTTAGGCTAACGGGAGATTAAGGATTCTTAGAAGAAACCAGTAGGAAACATACAGCCCTCCAGGAATTCCCAGCATGCTTTGCCTGGTAGTGGCTGGCTACCAGGTACTGAGCACTGAGTTGGTCACAGCCACATTTGATTTTTCCAGCACATGACAAATTAATTCAGGTTAATAAGAATATCCGTGTTTAACACCTTTTAGGAGCTGCTGGTGTATTTTTCCTGTTGCCATGAACTAAATTATTAGAACAGAAAAGTCTCTTCATACTGGTTTGAATATGAACAGTCAAAATTCTTAAACACATTACATTTCCTAGACAGCTGTAGCTGTGCTGAGGATTTGCTATTAATTGCATTTTTTGAAAATATATTTTTAGGATTGGTTAAATCTTTTTTATTTATCTTTCAACAGGCCAACAGCAGCTGAACTTCTGAAATGCAAATTCTTCCAAAAAGCTAAAGTAAGAGTCTCCTTTATTTCGCTCCGCATAAGAATTTTGCACAATGTTGCCACATGTTTATTAGTTAGTTTTTGTGGCAAGGTAACTGATTTACTTTTTCCAGCAGTGTAAAAGTGGACATATTCTTTAAATTTAAAGTTAGGCTGTCTCACAGGGATACATTCACACAGTTTAATGAGACAATTTGGTAAAAACATGACAGCAGTGCCTAGGCTTGCTTGCAGTTGTATGCTTGCTTGCAGGAGCATATCATGAGCTTAATAGGAATAATCTGTCCACTTCTGCTTCTGATTACTGGATTATATTAATGGTGTCATTAATGGGCTGTAGTCTAAGATCAGGAAGGGCTGTTATACAGAGAAACTCTGCAATGGGTCTAAGAGTGGGTCTGGGCAAAAGAGCAGCTGCAAAATGCCTCTTTGTGTACGTGCTATATACTGTAATACACAACTGACTTGTGGCACACTATTTTCAAGGATTAAAGTTTAGGTCTGCTTTAAATGACCCTGTCTGCATACAAACAAAAATAAATCCTAGGCATCCTGGAAAAGAAGACGTGTTATACTCCCCTTTCTGGCAGGTGGTGAGCAGACTTTTCACACTCTTGCAGATCTCCACGTCTGACTGCTATTGGTCACTTTTGAGTTTGTGGCATAATGTGTGACCCGCTGGCCACTTGTAGTTTCTTTGCCAGCCCCCTATTTTAACACTGTGTCCTTTAGTAATGTGAAATTTCTGAACTACCCCTATGCAAACTTCTAAACATCCTTCTATATTGCTAGCAATCTTTTGCAGAAAACCTGGGGTTCTTGGTTTGCATATATTGCAATACAAGTTCAAGCTTACCAACTGCATGATCCCTCTCTGGGCAGTCGCTACTCTAGGAACACCTACAGTAGCCAATGGGGACACACACACACACGCTATTTTACAGTCCCAGAAGTTGCCAATAGCAGTTGGACCCAGACATCTTCAAGAGGGAAAAGATTCTGCTCACCACAGGATGAATTTATTGGTCTCTCCAGGTATTTTCAGTAAAAAATGTATAGTACCAAAATCGTACCTGTTTGTAAAAAAAAAAGCATTATTACAGTTTTTTGTTTGTTGTTTTTCCTAGTATGTTTTCTTTTTCGC